AAACACACCTCTCATTTGCCTTCTCATTTGTTTAAGGCATTTGTATCTTCTCTCTTTAGTATTATTTCACTTGTATTTTTGGAGTGAAATAAAATATTGGTTGTGTCCGAGGAGTAGGCAAAATTAGCCGAACCTCGTAAATTCTGGTGTTCCCTTTATTGTTGCTTTATTGTCTTATTTATTATTTGGTGGCTGTCATAATTTTTGGTATAGTAGTTGTGACTTATTCACACTATATACATTTGGCTTCCGCAACAACAACAACAACAACAACATAGGCCAGTGTGATCCCACAAGAGGGGTTTGGAGAGGGTGGGTTGTACACAGTCCTTACCCTTACCTTGTGTGAGGTATAAAGGTTGTTTTTGGTAGACCCTCGACTCATACTACTATAATCATAAATGAGAATATTTATCAAATGAGTATAGTAATTAGATCATTGTGAGGTTAAACCAGCGTATAGAAACAAGCTATTATTCCAAGAAAATAGCCGGATCTGTAATAAGATGAAAAAGCAAGAAAGGCTTATGATTCAAGCAGGACAAAGAATTTCTACTAGAGTAGCAATTCTAGTGTGCTATAAAGTCAAAAGCGAAAGAGAGATGCTTGGTGATAGCAGCAAGAAGGGAACAAATGACTAGAGGTCTTGCTTCAAAGAGATAAGAGATTACCCTTGTGTTTTGCATGACAAAAGTGTAAAGAAAATGAACATTGGACCTAACTCGTCCAAAACAACTAGCTCGTGATGCGAGAATTGTCGGAGACAACAACCAGTATCTTCAACCAATATAGAACACTTGATAATGTCGAAAATAAAATTAAGTAAATAGAAAGCATACCATCACGATTGTCGGACACAACTCCTCATATCTTCAACCAATATAGAACACTTAAAATGTCAAATAAATAGAAAGCATACCATCACGATTGTCGGAGACAACTCCTTGTATCTTCAACCAATATAGAACACTTAAAATGTCAAATAAATAGAAAGCATACCATCACGATTGTCGGAGACAACTCCTTGTATCTTCAACCAATGTAGAACACTTAACAATGTTAGAAGATAAAATTAAGTAAATAGAAAGTATACCATCTTGAACAGCTTAAACGTTTAGATGAGATTATCACACCATGCAGACGTCCCAGATTCAAGTCTCACCGCCATCCACTATCAGAAAGACTTTCCACGTGATGAAAGGGTGTGTTTAAGCCAATAAGTAAACTAAAATGCACGCTCTTTAACAACTTAAACTTTTAGATAAATAGCCACACAATGTCACAAAAAAAAAAGTCATGGAAGCTTTTCGTCTGCACGAGTAATCTTTCAGTGAAAAACTATAAGGCTCAAAAGTTAAATAGGCGACAAGTATTTCTGTGATTTTGTCCAACACCTATTATCGGATTTACCTTATATGCAATGATAATATTTATAAAGTACCATAATTTCACCTAAAATCTATTGTAAGAGGTACCTGACAATATATGAAAATTTTACATAATCATGTCTTCAAACCCGTGGTAAGAGATCACCTGTTTTATTTTTATATCACCAATTTCACTCAGAGTTTTAAGTTATATGCACTGGCGGCAGAAGACTTTTTTCCTACACCATCAAGGACATACAACATGTAACGGGCTATAATAACACTTACAGTATTTATCAACTTAGAAATAAAGTAATCACTTGTAGTAATAGATATTACAATGATAGTGATGGTGTTAAATTTCTGGTATATGAGCTAAATTCAGCTCACTTATTATGAACAGTTATTAGCAGAGGCGGACCTATGCAATAGGTAGAGGGGTCACCGACACTCGTAATGTTCGGCAAAATTCTATGTATACATGTATATGTTTTTAAAAAATAATGATATAATAGTAGTGGTTTACCCTATATACAAAGCAAATTTTTGTTGAATCAAAAAGTATATCCACGGCCTTCAAATTCTGGGTCCGCTTCTGATTATTAGTATCTATTTTTTAGGTGAAATGATAGAATAAAAGTTATTTTACACCACCATGAGTGTAGAAACATTAGATTCTTTAATACTTTGGGTATTAGAAAGCCATTACACATGCACCAGTATAGAGGCTTGTGAACAAATATTTCTCAAGAATATGCCCCTCCTAGCAGTATAAATTAAAGCCATTGGTGACTGGTGAGTGGCATCAAACATAATCCGCAGTTATAACAAGTAGTGAGAATGGAGCCTTCAGGTGGGTTGAGCAATAGAGGAAAACAAGAAATTCAACCACAGATTTCGGTACGACCTTCCGATATGTTGGAAGAAATCAAGAAAACATTAATTAAAGATCAATTATTTGAAGCCTGCATGGAGAATAGGTGGACAGAGGTTAATCGACTGTACATCAACGACAAGTTTGTCCAAGAATCCAAGCTCACTAAATCTGAGGATACTGTTCTTCACTTAGCTATCTCTTCTTACCATCCACATCGAGAAGACTCTTCACAGCAAACTCATCTTGATTGTATTAAGGATATGGTGGCTAATATACCAAAGGAAAATCGATTCCGTATCTTAAAACAGAAGAATGAAAAAGGGAACACACCTCTTCACCTTGCAGCAGAACTCGGAAGTGTCTCCATTATTGCGTGTTTGGTAAACCCACAAGAACCTGAACTCATCTGGGAGACCAATTCAAAAGGGGAAACCCCTTTATTCGTAGCTGCTTATCGAGGCAGGCTAGATGCTTTTCTCTACCTACATGAGTGTTGCCAAAATGAAAAGAGCAGAAAAGATCCAATTGTACTTTGCAGGAGGGGTGATGGGGATAACATTCTACACGCAGCCATCTCTGGAGAGTACTTTAGTAAGAGCCAAATCCCCTTTTCTTATTAATTATCAAACATTTTGTTACATAAGTTAGTATACAATGTCTTCTTTCTTGTGGGATAGTGATATTAACAACTTAATTTTCTTGTAACAGAGTTGGCTTTTCAGATAATAAATCAGTATGAGCTACTTGTCAACCGTTTAAACTCAGAGGGCATGTCTCCTCTACACATTCTATCTAGGATGCCTCAAGTATTCAAAAGTGGAAGCTATTTTGGGTGCATAGATAGCATTATCTACCATTGTAAGTCTCTATAGTCTTTTAAATCAAGAAGTGGCATAGATCAGCCCTTTTAACTAGGTTTTAAATACACCGACACATATCGGGGTTCTTTTTGTCCAGGCATAACTGTCGAAGAGCTAAAGATAGAGAAATATAAAACTGAAGGTATGTGACTATGTAATAAACTTTTCAGGTTGTATGGACTTAACCAGGTTACTTAAGCGGCCATAAGGCCGAAACTATGATATATAATATTTTTTCATGAGAAAACTATGATATGATCCTTCCCAGAAGATTCTATTCCAGCAACTACTGGAATAACTAATGTGAATCAAGACAAGAAGTCTCCAGGTATGTGAATATGTAATAAACTTTTCAGGTTATATGGACTTAACCAGGTTACTTAAGTGTCCAGAAACTATGATATATAATATTTTTTCATGAGGAGAACTCTTACTAGTACTAACTTATTTTTCTTTTTTCTTCGCACTAAGGCAATCAAGATGACCCCGAGAATCCCCCAATCTCAGGTGAAGGCATACGCATGTATACACTGCAGTTGAAACTAAATGTTACCCCCAACTATGATGATTAAATATAATCCATCAAAATATGCACACAAATAACCAAGAAGAAAAGGTGCATGCGATTATGCAGGAATCTACCAGTTTGTTAACTCATTAGATCAAAATTAAGAAGTAGACCAATCTCTTTTGGAAAATGAACTAACCAAATGATTTGAGCATCTCATTAGGAGTGCGTTGTTGACACTTTGTAACTAAGAATTTTACACATTCAAAGACTGATTCTCTTTTCTATTCCAGCAACTACTGGAGTAACCAATGTGAATCAAGACAAGAAGTCTCGAGGTATGTGATAACCTTTCAGGTTATGTTGACTTAAGCAGGTGTTTGTCAAACAAATTGAGGAGCCGGAGTAAATCCACCAAGAATTAAAATGAACATCTACTGGACGAATAAAAAATCTATTATTAAATGGATTAGTAGATTAGTAGCACACTAATTAAAACAGGAAGAGTGTATGTATGTGTGTGTTACTTCTTGAGCCTCTTCATATGGTTACACCAATAATTCTTTACATGCCATTTTTCAAAACATATTCCCTTCAACTTTTCTTTTGGGAAAGGCTTTTCGTTGCTTATTCTGTTTTAGAGTATTCTTTATTGAAATCAAAGCATTGAGCTAACTTATTTCCAATTCATGTGAACATTTTCTAGGTGAAGAGCAATGATNTTTCAAAGGTCCCGCAACCCATCTTCTTTTTGCCGAAACAACATAATTCTGCTTGATGTCTCGACGGATCCTTTCCATCAAGCTTATCTCGTTTGCCCCCCTTTTAATTCCTTGTCGCCTTATAGTGACCTTCGAGGGGTTTTCACTAATAAGACTCTCTCATTTCTCTCAACTCTCGTCGCGTTATGGTGCCTGTGAAGGTTTTCACCGATAAGACTCTCTCATTTTATTTCTCTCAACTTTCGTCTCACTTCTGTTTGTTTGACTTGTCATCTCTCGAAAAACCGATCAAAAGGTCTTTCTTTGGACCGTAATGTGGGCTTTTGGATGGGATTAGAAAGAAAGGGTATCAAAGGCTCAAAATAATTTGACATGGGTTTAAGATTACAACTTTTGGAATCACATTTCTCATTACAAATACAACCTCTGCCTTAGTTTCTTGCTTGGGAATCTTCCGACTTTTATTTTACTATGACCGAGCCGTAAAGCTGCCTACGTACCCTTAACAGGGA